TGGAAGAAAAAGGAAAAAGTGGGAATGATAGGGTGAAATGGCAAGTGGAAATGTTTCTCTCTTTCCTCTCACTAGACTGAACTTTTTTTTTCTCCAGTTGTACTTTAGATGAAGATTCACAGAGCAAACTAGTTTCTCGTTAAACAACTGATACACATATTATTTTGTGACATTGGTTGCCAACCCCACGACATGTCAACACTCCCTTTCTCGACCCTGAGTTCCTTATTACCAGCCCTCCTGTCCCTCCTGCCTTCTCGTCCTTGCCCCTGGGCTGGTGTGCCCCTTTAGTCTCATTTTGTTTTATGGGCCTGTTTAATCTGGCTGAAGGATGAACCTCCAGAGTGGCTTCGTTACTCAGCTATAAGAGTGTCCTGGGGCCATATACTCTGGGTTTCTCCAGTCTCTGTCAGACCAGTAAGTCTAGTTTTTTTTTTTTTTTTTTTTTGGTAAGTTAGAATTTTATTTTACATTTTTTTCAAGCTCTGTCTGGGACCTTCTATTGTGATCCCTGTCAGAACAGTTGCTGGTTGTAGGCAGGCACTACCTAGTTGTGCTAGACTCAGTCTGGTGGAGGCTGTGGTACTTGTGGTCCATTAGTCCTTTGGACTAATCTTTCCCTTGTGTCTTTGGTTTTCTTCATTCTCCCTTGATCCAGATGGGGTGAGACCAGTGGAGTATCTTAGATGACCACTCATAAACTCTTAAGATCCCAGACGCTACTCACCAAAGTAGGATGTATAACATTTTCTTTATAAACTATGTTATGCCAGTTGAGCTAGATGTTCCCGGAGACCGTAGTCCCCACGCCCCTCAGCCCAGTTATTCGGTCCCTCAAGGAGTTTAGATGTGTCTGTGGAGCTTCCATGACCTTGGCTTGGTCAAGTTATGCTGGCTTCCCCAGTATTGTATAACTGTCTTAACCTTCACCAAAGTTACCACTTATTTATTATCTGTTAGTGTTTTTCCTTCCTCACCCCTCCCCTCCCTCATAACTATCAAAGATTGTTTCTTTTTGTATGTAAACCTTTTCATGAGTTTTTATAGTCTATTGTCTCATACGGTATTTATCCTTTTGTGAATGACTTATTTCAATCAGCATAATGCCCTCCAGAGTCATGTTGTGAGATGCTTTGCAGATTCATCATTGTTCTTTACGGTTGCATAGTATTCTGTTGTGTGTATGTACCATAGCTTGTTTATCCATTCATCTGTTAATGAGCACCTAGGTTGTTTCCATCTTTTTGCTATTGTGAACAATGCTGCAGTGATCATGGGTGTGCATATGTCTATTCATGTGACGGCTTTTATTTCTCTAGGATATAGTCCTAGGAGTGGGATTGCTGGATCGTATGGTATTTCTATTTCTAGCTTTTTAAGGAAGTGCCATATTGTTTTCCAAAATGGTTGTACCATTTTGCATTCCCACTGATTCATGCCAGTGATGTTGGGGTTAGGTGGTATGTCATTGTGGTTTTTGATTTGCATTTCTCTAATGGCTAGTGATCACAAGCATTTCCTCATGTGTCTGTTAGCTGCTTGAATGTCTTCTTTGGTGAAGTGTCTGTTCATTTCCTTTGCTCATTTTTAAATTGGATTATTTGTCATTTTGTTGTAGAGGTGTTGGATTTTCCTGTAGATTTTAGAAATTAGACCTTTGTCAGCTTTGTCATAGCCAAAATTTTTTTCCCAGTCTGTAGGTTCTCTTTTTACTCTTTTGGTGAAGTCTTTTGATGAGCCTAAGTGTTTAATTTTTAGAGGATCCCAGTTATCTAGCTTATCTTTTGGAGTTTGTGTGTTGTTAGTTATGGTTTGTATCCTGTTAATTCCACGTATTAGGACCTCTAGTGTTGATCTAATTTTTCTTCTATGATCTTTATAGTTTTTGGCTTTATATTTAGGTCTTCGATCCATTTTGAATTAATTTATGTATATGGTGTGAGGTATGAGTCCTGTTTCTTTTTTTTGCAGATGAATGTCCAGTTTTGCCAAGACCATTTGTTAAAAAGACTATCTTTTCCCCATTTGATGGACTTTGGGCCCATGTCGAAGGTCTGGTGACTGTAGGTGGATGGATTTACATCTGGGTTCTCAATTCTGTTCCATTGGTCAGTATATCTGTCCTTGTACCAGTACTAGGCTGTTTTGACCACTGTAGCTGTATAGTATGTTCTTCATTTTTCTTCTTCAATAGTGCTTTACTTATCTGGGGCTTCTTCCCTTTCCATGTAAAGTTAATGATTAGTTTTTCCATCTCTTTAAAGAATGATGTATATGGATTGAGATTGCATTGTATTTGTAGATTGCTTTGGGTAGAATTGTCATTTTCTCAATGTTGAGTCTACCTGTCCATGAGCGTGGTATGTTTTTCCATTTATGTAGGTCGCTTTTGGTTTCTTGTGGTAGTGTTTTGTAGTTTTCTTTGTATAGTTCTTATACATCCCTGGTTAGATTTATTCCTAAGTATTTTTTTTTTTAGGGGCTATTATAAATGGTGTTTTGTTTTGTTTTTTCTGATTTCCTTTTTGTCGTTCTCTTTATTGGTGTATAGGAATCCAGCTGATTTTTGTATGTTTACCTTATATCCTGCTAGTCTGGTGAATCTTTCTATTAGTTTCAGTAGTTTTCTCGTGGAGTCTTTTGGGTTTTCTATGTATAGTATCATATCATCTGCAAATAGGGACAGTTTTACTCCTTCCTTACTAGTTTGGATGCCCTTTATTTGTTTTCCTTGCCTTACTGCTCTAGCTAGGACTTCCAGCACAGTATTGAATAGGAGTGATGATAAAGGGCATGCTTGTCTTCTTCCTGTTCTCAAGGGGAATGTTTTCTGCCTCTCTCCATTAAGAATGATGTTGGCTGTTGGTTTTGTATAGATGCCCTTTGTTATGTTGAGGAATTTCCCTTTTATACCTATTTTATTGTGAGTTTTTATCAGGAATGGATGTTGGACTTTGTTGAATGCCTTTTCTGCGTCGATTATTTTGTTTATGTGGTGGATTATGTTGATTGATTATAAATTTATTTCTATAAATTCCATTATTGAGCCTGATCAAAGATACAGGTTTTATTGAATATTTTCACTTCTTTTTTTTTTTAGTTTAAAGAGCATAAATTTATTTTCTCACAGTTTAGGAGAGTAGAAGTTTGAATTCAGGGTTCCAGCTATAGGGGAAGGCCCTTTATCTCCTGACATTGGGGGAAGACTTTTGTCTCATCTTCTGTAGCCCTAGCATTCCTCGGTTTCTTGGTGATCTTCATGTGGTGTCTATCTTCATTGCCTCCTCCCTGATTAGTGCTTGATAGTCTTTGTGTCTCTGCAGCTCCTTATAACTCAGAAATGATTAGGTTTGTAATACACCCTATGCTGATATGGTCTCATTAACATAACAAAGAAAACCGTAATTCCAAAGTGGATTACATATAAGGATATAGGGGTTAGGATTCCAACACATATTTTGGGTGACACAGTTCAATCCATAACAGTGACATTGACCAAAAATGAATTAAAAAACCTGGTCCTGTCTTTAAATTGCTTACAGTTCACTTGGAGAAAGATGAAAGATAATGAACTTTTTTAAAAATATATTTTATTGTGATTTTGGAGAAAAGTTACATAGCAAATTACGTTTTCATTTAACAATTTCTATACATATTATTTTGGAGCCCTGGTGGCTCAGCGCTTAAGAGCTCAGGCTGCTAACCAAAAGGTTGGCAGTTCAAATCCACCAGCCGCTCCTTGGAAGCCCTATGGGGCAGTCCTACTCTGTCCTGTAGGGTCGCTATGAGTTGGAATTGAGTTGACGGCAACTAGTATACATGTTATTTGGTGACATTGGTTACACTTTTCACAGTGTGTCAGCATTCTCGGAATGCTTTCAGTCTTTTATATACATTGTTAAAGGAGATAATGTAGACATGAGGAAGCAAGAATACTTTACCATAGTAGGTGTTTTATAAATGATAGAATTATTAAGTTTATTATTAAAAATGGTAAAGGGATGTTGTAGAAAATAGAGTAGAGATTGCCTCAGATTTTAAAAGTGTGTCCCAGGGAACTAAATACTGTAATTAGAAGTTAGTCGGCCTGTACATTGTTGATATGTTTAAATGTGATCAGGTCGTTAGTTTAAAACAAGCTAAATGAATAATTTCTTTAATAAGGATCAACACAAAGTTGGTTCCTTTGAGGCGGAGGTTAAAGATGTCCCAAATGTCCGACTTTTCCAAACTGCTGTACCACTGCATCATCTCTAACATCAACTATTCCCCCTCCCCTCAGTATTCTCCCTCTCGTCTTTGGGTTGTGTAATTCGCTGCAACGTCTCACAGAACTCATGAACTGTACTTACAGTTAGATGGTTTCTTGGGAAAGTAACAGGGTACAACTGGGGATCAGGATCAAGTTGGAAGTAAGGTGAACAGCAACTCAGGATGTAGTTCCTAAATCAGGGCAGCTTCTTCTTACTCTCTGCCACCAGGCTCCGCCTGCTGGGGGCCTTCTCTGGTGAGTGTTACACCTCCTAAATCCGTGGGTCAGCAAGCCCCACTGTAGCCATTTTGTGCCGTTCTCCTGATTCCTGCTGTCTTGCAGAGCCGACTCTCACTGACTTTTGTGTTACAGCTCCTCTATCTCTTTCTGTCTGTGTCTCCCTTTAAGCCTAGTGGGATGGCAAGACTGACTAATCCCCTTGTTAGGGTTCCATGCACCTTATTTGCATGGCCCTTCACCCACAAGGGTAATGTGCACCTAATTTACATTATTAGCAAGCTATCCAATCCCCTTGGTGGGCCACAAGCACCTCACTTGCATAGTTCCACCCAGTCATTTGGTGGGCGTTACAAAACCATGATGAGATAGACCATATGAAAGCGATCCCTTGCACTGCACTAGCCTTTTAAAAGTTCCTCTTGTAGAAACCATCTAAATAACGATTAACTTAGTATTTACAGTTAAAAAGTGTTGTCTGCCCTGATTGAAAGTTATGTATTGAAATCAGTGTGTTCTAGGTCAATGGCTTCTAAGACTCCAGTTGGATTCATTGGACTGGGCAACATGGGGAATCCAATGGCAAAAAATCTCATGAAACATGGCTATCCACTCATCGTTTATGATGTGTTCCCTGATGCATGTAAAGAGTTTCAAGATACAGGTGAACAGGTAAGGCCTTTTCTTTAGATTTGTTTTAGATTTTGGTGTTTAAAAATGAATATACATTCAGATAAGCTTCTTGGAGAGAAGTACACCTGATGAAGTTACAAGTCTAATTCACTGTTAATTTTATTTCTCTCTCTCTTTTTTTTTTTTAACATTCATCCAACATCCTGGTGTACAGCAGAGTAGAGCTCTCATAATTTATTGAGAGAGTCTATTGTTTGGCAAGAGGGCAGTGGTGGTTATTTTCTCCTTCTATGCAGAAGATCTCTGTTAGTTTCCCGGACAGCTCACTTCAAGCACGGCCACCCCTCATCTGTCATTGGAGACTTGCATGTTGCTGTGGTGCTGAACTGGTTTCAATGGAGCTCCCAGACTAAGACAGGCTTGGAAGAAAGGCCTGGTGATCTACTTCCAAGAATCAGCCAATGAAAACTCTATGGATCACAACAATCCAATTCTGTTATATATAGGGTCGCCATAATTTGGGGGATGACTCAACACAGCTAACAACAACGACAGCATTCTTTGGCAAGGGATTTACTTTGGCTTTTTATCAGTTTTTCTGAGATAGTAACTTTACTTACTGTGCTGCTAAAGCAGATGATTTGGTGGAGATAGCCTCCCAATTATTGAAAGGCATAATTTGTTTGAGAACAAGGATAGGCTTAGAGATAGAAAGCTTATCTTTGAGCTCCAGCTCAGATACCTGCTGTCTTGCTAGGGGCAAGTTACTTCACCTAAGCTGGTGTCTTCATTGGTAAAATGGGAATGATGACAACCTACATTATTAGATAGTGAGACTCAAATGAGAAATGTGTGAATGTTCTTTGTAAATTGTATGGCAGCATTTTGTGAATAAGTATTAGTTATTGGCCATAACCTAAAAATATTGTATGTTATAATGAAGTACAGAGTTCTGTTAGGATGGATCTTTAGTGTTCTCTTTTTAGGCTGTTATTCATGTTTCAAGAGTTTTAGGACTGGAGTATATCATGTTTTATGGTAGCACCTGCTGGTTAAGGCTTGAATTGTCTGGATTTGTTAAACTTTATCAGTAACTCACATGGCAAGAGACCATGTATCACTAAATGAATTTAGAGTTTTGTTTTGCCTAGATATGAGAGAAATTCTTTTTGTACAAGTTATAGAGTCATAACAGGATGGAATGTGATCCTACGGCTGGGAGACCACTAAAAAAATTTCTAAGAAATATAGAAAAAGAAGAGAGGAAAAATAAAATTTTAACAGTCAGCTTCTGAATAGTAGACTTCAAAGTAAATACTGAAGAATGCAGTGCTTAGGTAAAGAGCAGGTTTAGGTAACTTAGAGAGACACATTTGCAGACCTGGATGTCAGTAGCTCCTTCCCTTCCCTGGGTTGTGTGTCACAAGAGATGGCGGTAGTGTTGCATAAGGATGTGAGTGTGGTCTTGGAACTTTTGCAGGAAGGGTTGTATCTGCTTATGCCCCATTCCTTACCTTACCAGTTGTTGCCATTGAGTTGATTCTGACTCATGAGGTTTTCAATGGCTGCTTTTTTGGAAATAGATTGCCAGGCCTTTCTTCCAAGGTACTGCTGGGTAGACTTGATCATCACGCCTTTGTGAACTTAAACCTCTAAGCTTTCAGTTAGCAGCTGAGTGCATTAACTGCTTGCACAGATCCTGACACTGTATCCCCAGTCCAGCAGACATTCAGATGACCTTAAGTAGCTCAGCCACTTGGTAGGCTTGTTGGGTAGATTTGATCAGTTCTTTGTTTCATTAGAGAATCTGGGAAAGGTGGCCTTTTACCATCTTCAGGGATGGAAAGCAGTTTGAGCTGATACTCAGTCTGGGATGAATCAGTTAGTAGTTATTTTGAGGAGATGGATATTATTTTTGAGGGTAACACATCTGTTTGATGTTTTGACTTTACAGACAGTGGTTTATATATTTATTTGTAAGAGTAATGGTGGTTAGTCTCTAAACAAAAATATCGTCAATTAAATATAAACATAGAATCTAACCAAACTAATAATAATACATTCCTTTGGCATTTTGGGGAGTAATGTTCCAGAGATTTTCATATATATCTGTATCTGTCTCTCTATATTTAAAAAAAAAAAAAAGTATATAAAATCATGTGCATTTCTTTTCCTCCTCCATCCTGTCCCAGTAAGAAAGAGGTAGGAATTGAACAGAGACTGATCTATTTTAGACTGGCAAAGCAAAAGCTTATGGCCTTGCAAATTATTACTGATGCCATAGCTCTTTCCTCCAAATCTATAATACTTACAGCTTGCCTATGGAGCAAAGGAAATGATCATCACCCCTTTGCGAATCTCTCTTCTGCTTCTTCCCAGATTTCTAGAGCTTTCTGATGTTCTGCCTGAATTGCTTCATACTTTAAAGTTACCCCACTTACCTCCATGCCCCAACAAAACACTCATTTCTTTAGTGTTGCTGATTTTACATAGGAGTGAAGGAAAGCTTATTTAAGAATAAGGCTTATCCCAGAGTGAAAGAGTTAACTACATTTTTAAAAAGGAGAGAAAAGAAGCTGATATTTAGTAAGCACCTACTATATGTGACATCTTGTGTTAAATATTTTATGTATATTATCTAATTTTAACTTTGCAACAGAAGTATTATCAGGAAATTGATGCTTGGAGAAGTTAGACAACATCCCTAAGGTTGTAATGTGAATGGCAAGAGCTAGGATCTGAACAAAGGTCTGTCATTGACTTTGGAGCCTTAGGTTCTTTTAATTACATGATGCATGATCACTAATTAATGAAAATTAATGTGTGAAGCATTTTTGAGAGAAGAGAGTGTGTGTGTGTCTTTCTTGATGATTGTGTTATCTATTATAAAATAAAGTGCCTAGATTCTTTTTGAATCAGTAATGTCAAGTCACTGATCACATACTCCCAGTTTTTTTCCTTTAATGTGTGGTTCTGCATCCATCAACTTTGTTGGAATAAAAAAAAAAACATTATTTTTGGGAAGATTGAATAAGTTGCAATAGCCAGTATTGGGAATCTCCAGAATGCATAGGTTTGGAATCTGCCTTCATCATGTAGTATTTGTGCAATCTTGGGCAAGTTATTTAATGTGTCTGTATCTCAGTTTCCTCGTGTGTGAAATGAATGTAATCATAGTACCTTTCTTGTAGGGTTATTGTGAGAATTAAATAAGTTAATATTGTAGAGTTTAAAAAGTGTTTGGTAAAAAAAAGAAAAAACACCAACTCCCTGCCGTCGAGTTGATTCCGACTCATAATGACCCTATAGGACAGAATAGAACTGTCCCAAAGGGTTTCCAAGCCTGTAAATCTTTACAGAAGCACACTGCCATATTTTTCTCCCGTGGAGCAGCTGGTGGGTTTGAACCACCGACCTTTTGGTTAGCAGCCCAGCACTTTAACTGCTGCACCACCAGAGCTCCTGAGCGTTTGGGACAAACATTAAAATAATGTTTGGTACGTATACTGTATATAAGTGTTAGCTATAAGTTCCTATAGTTAGTTCCTATAAGGCTGAGTTTCCCATCTGCTGTATACATCTATTTGCCTCTCCATTCAAATGATATAATTGAGTCAGAGTCTCCTCTTTCTTTGTGAAGAAAAATTACTTTTTATTAATCTGATAACTATGGGTTAAGGCCACTGTAGAATTCCTTAGCAAAAGAGGATAAGACCTTTATGAATTCACTACTTTAATAGACGTTCTTGGGTACTTTCTATGGGCCATTCACTGGGAATATAGCCCAGAAAACAATGTCACTGCCCTTGCCTTTGGAGCCAATAGAGAGGATGTTAGACTATCAAAGCACACAGATGTGTGATTCCAAGTAGTGCCAAGTCTAAAGAAAAAAATAGAGTCTTACTGGTTTTTAATAAGAAAATATACCTTACATTGGATGAAAGGGCAGTTAGGAAAGTTCTTTCTGAAGAAAAGACAGTAAGACAGTAGAAGAATAAATAGTATTTATCCAGATGAAGGATGGGGACAAAGGAGCAATGTCTTGAAAAGCAGAGCCTCAATCTCCAGGTTTCTAGAGATTTCTACTTGAGAACATCAGATATAGGTTGCATACCTACCATATGCCTAGCAGTCCGCCTCGTACTCTGAGAATAAAGCATGTTGAGTTGGATGTGGTTTCAGTCTTTAAGTGGCAAGGCCAAATAATATTATAAGGAAGTTTCTATTATGTTTAATTTGAATATAACAAAGTGCTGAGGCAGTGTTTTAGGAGGATAAAATAAGAAGTAATTAACTGTTAGGAGTCATTTCAATTTTGATTGATAGGGAATTACAGAAATATTGTATATACTCTGCTCACCCACTAACAGAACTGATGGAGTCTGAAATGAAAGTCATGGAGACAATGTCTCTTAAGATTCCTGGATTGAAATCTGAAGGTTCTTTAGGACAGACTCCATTACCAGGTATTCTTCTTTCTCTTCCTTATGATATATAAGTGGGTGTGAGGAAGGAAAGAAGATGGGTTCCGGGTATCTGCCCCCTAGATTAGTGAGGAGTGAAGACTTGCCTTATCTCTGGCTCTTAGAGCGCTCCCTTTGCCCTGCCTTCTCGTCTGCATCTCCCACTCCTGCCCCCAGCACACTGTGGGCAAAGTTCTGTGGGAAGCCGAGGGGAAGGTCTGTCCGTTCACACTGAGGAGGCAAGCCTGGAAGACAGGATTCTCCTTCCCCACATCCCATCTGTCTCACTTCCCTGGTTCCCTTAAGTGTCTTGACTCTCGAAGATTTTAGAGTATTGATTCTAAATAGCAAGGAAAGGTAGGAGAATATGAAACTTGGATGAATGAAGTGGGAAGGATAAAGGGTGAAAAAGATTTGGGCCTGTGGGAAGCATCTTGTTATCATAAAATAAAAAATTTGTTGATAAACGATTTATGTTCACAGCTTAAAAAAATGTTTGAAACAGTAGCAATGTCATGTGAATGAGTGTGATTTCCTAAGAGCACTACTTTAAAAGGTAACATTAATTTGGATGAA